TCCCTCCTGACACACAGGCACACAATTTTGGGAAGCCCCGGGGCTCCCTCTCCCCTCTCCCGTGAGAGAGGCCACCATCCCCCGAACCTGCTGGCTTTGCGAAGTTTCCTCGGGAGCACGGGTGCTCGGGTGTGGCGGTGATGGGGGCGGGAGGGGTCCTACCTTTTCTAGTGAGTTCTATTATAGTTAGTAGGTCGCACACTTTTTTAAAAAAGTAAATGGATTTGCCACATTTGAATGTCATAACATTTATGACAGAATATAAAATATTAACATATTTTAAGCCAAGTTTTAGGTGTATGTTTTGAATCTTGGTTATAAACCCAATTTTAAAGGGCGTTGTATCCAGCGTTGTGAAGGCAACAGTGTACCCATATTTATATTTTTATAAAATACCTATAAGACTGTGAATCTCTTGTGCTAATTGCTGAGTAAGTTGAAGGACTGTTTGGCCCCTTCTTCAGTCTCCCGGAGCTTCAAGGACCCGATTCGAATCCAAAAACCCTGTCATGGGGGGAGGGGCCGCGCGGGGACCTGGGCTGGAGGCGGTGCTTCCGCGTCACTTTCGGTCCCGAAAGGCGCCCTTCCTGGTCTCCGAGGTTCCTATTTTCTATGCAACCCCACACCCCTTGTTGTTTTGATCCTGAGAAATAAAAGGGAGGCTGAATTATTCAAATTTAAATGAGGCTTCCCCTGGGTAGAAGTGCCGCTGACCCTCCGTGCAGAAATGGGGAGCGCTTGAGGACACAGGTGGGTGGAGGCCCTTTGCGCGCGGCCGGTCACACTCGGGCGTCATCTGGGGCTTTTTATAAAACCTTGTGTGAGCAGAATATATTGATAATGTCAGTGAAACAAGCAGACATTGAAACTGAGGCACAGATTACTCCAAAAGGAGTTTTTCTGTATATTTTTTCTAGATGCAAATACCTTTTTAATTATGTTAATTAATGTTAAGACTTTCTAGGCTTATATGGAAGCTGTGTGTGGGTCCTGGTATGATCACTTCTAACTGGATAAAGTCTGCAGCACATTCCTGAGTGTACGATATAGACTTGTAGCCCAGCATGAAAAATTTATGAATAAATTTTTCATTGATTTTTTTTATTAAAAAAAAAAAGTTTGTTGGTTTTTCTTAGTCTTGGCACCCAGGAGGAGGGTCAGGCTGCAACCTGCTAGTTGTGGGTGCCATCTACACAAAGCTTGGCTTGTTTTCACTGAAGACAGCCTGGTGAACTGGTCCGCCGCAAACCGGGACTTAGGAGGTGCCAGGGGTGGACCCTCTTCCGCCCGGGGTGGGGGGAGGGGGGACCTAGGCCACCCTGAGTGCGCCCAGAACCAGCCCTCAAACCTTTTCCTCTGCTCCCTGGCAAAGCAGCCGAGGCCTTTTGCATGGAAGGTTCTCGAAGCTCTTCCCAACCCCTAGCCAGCCTGACGTGCCACAGGTCCTGGGAAGGACCAGGCCCCACCCCTGCCCACCACCACCTTCTTTTGCTGTGGGCTCATGCTGGACCACCTGCTGCGCAGAACGGGTATTTCTTTTAATTTGCGGGAACACCACAGTTGCTCTCTCCTGACAAAAGGCCAGTTTCTCCTCTCCGTCCCCTGGTGGCATCTGGGAGCTGAGCTGGGGAAGCCCCTGGAGCCGGCCGGTCCTCGAAGAGCACAGACCCCAAGTTGGACTTGGTGTCAGCCAGCGTCCCTGTGTGCGTGAGGAGAGCTCAGAGCAGGGTGTCTGCTGCTGGGACCCACTAGAGGAGCAGAGACTCTTGGCACATACCCGAGCTGCCCTCGGGGCCCTGGGGCCTTCCGGGAAAGGGGCGAGGGACACCAGGGCAAGAGGAGCCTGCCAGAAGGGGCAGCCGGCAGCTTAAGACTTCCAAGGTGACAGCTTTTTCTCGGAGCTTCCAGACCCCTCTACAGCAGTCCAAGGGCTCGGGCTTCCTGTCGGCAGGTGGGCGCAGCTCCGCGCGTCCCGCCCCACAGACACACTGCTCTGCCCACACTGGACGCTTTGGGGGCTGCGCCTTCCATGTTCCTACTTCGCACACCCTGCCCTGCTGGACCCTTGAGGGTTTCCTGAGCTCGTTTTTCTGTTGATTACATCGGCCTTTACCTTCCCCTCAGCCAAGAGACCAGGGCCGGCTCTACCCTCGGGCACCCGCAGAGGTGAGTGGAATACTTGTTGCCAGTGAGCACCCAGGGGAGGCGGTGTCCACTGGGCTGGCGAGCACGCGGGGCTGCGGACGCCAGCTGGGGCTGCCAGGCCTCGAAAGGGAGAGTCGCTACAAGAGCTCGGGCTTCGGTTGGGGTGTCTGGACCGTGAAGCCAGGCCCTGGGCACTCCCTGGGTGTGTGGCACGAGGGACTGTATCTCCATTCCCCACGGCAGAGGGAGGAAGCTGGCTTAGGACTAGCAAGTGATGCTTGTTCCTGGCCTAGGCTGCTGGGGAGGGGTCCGCTTCCCAGTGAGCCGCTGTCCCTGCAATCCCCTTAAAGCCCCACAGCGGAGAGGCCCACCGGCCGGTGGAGCGTGGGCACCGGGGCACTTCCTGGGCACCCGCCGGCGGCGGCTGTCTGCGGCTCCCTTAAGTCCTCCCTTGGGGAGACACCTTTGAGAAAGGCTTCGCGCTGCTCACAGGAATGGTTGTCTCTCCAGCAAGGACAAAAAAGGAGGCCGGGCCCTGCTCAGCACCACAGCTGTGGGGGAGGCCTGCTGGGGTTCGGCTCCCTCTTTCCCTAGGTGCCTGCCGCCCCACTGCCTGGACCCTGGCTGTTGGTGAGGGCTCTCACGGGCATTTCACGGCCCTTTCGCTGGGCAGAGCCCTAGGAAGCAGACCCGAGCTACAGTTCTTCTGCTGTCCGAGGTCAGAGCTGTGAACAAACCAGCAAACGGAGCAGTGCCGGCTCGTTCTCCAGGACCTCTGTGCTCAGGAACCGGCAGTAACTGCTGTGGGTGGGCCAATGGTGTCACCCGGGAGTCCCCCTCCGCCCCCAATGGGCCTTCAGGGGTGGAAGCATCCTCTCAAGTGTCTTTGTGGC